AGATTTGCTAAGATAGTAGATTTCTACAGTAATGTGAAGTATTGTTGAGCAAAACACTTGAAAAAGTGCTTTTTTTTATGATGCGAGAAAAAAACAATTTTTTAGTTCTTGAAGGCGGCTATTCCGTGTCATTCTTTATTGCCGACCTCAAATCCCCCGTAGCAAAAGGAATTTGCTAAATTTGCATAGCCATTGTATTCACCGAGTTCCGCCGATTGAGTCGTGAGTTTTTGTATACCTCTCTAAAAACGGGAAAGTTCGTACGTAGACATGAGCTAAAAAGTGTACACGACATCGGGAGCTCTGTTGTTACCTTAGAGTGCGCTGTTTGCTGAGCTCTGTATTTTAAGTCGCATAGGGGGAGTGACTAAATGTAACAAGTGTTATCGTGACATCCTTCTGCTATAGTTTCGGAATTGTACGTCTGCCCCAGTGTAAGTTGTGGTCGCCTTCCCGTACAAGTATTGTCCACCCGCTCTGCACAATTCTCGCTCGAAGAATCACACTAAGACCACCATTACACTTTCAAATAGGTCACATTCAATTGTTTGGTGGTTTCAAAGGGGGAATAGCGGGATAGAGACGTACACGGCGTCATTTGCTCATATCAAGCCTCTTACTAACAAATCCCAATCTTAGTTTTCTACCCCAATATAGGAGTTACTCATTGATCCTTTCTATGTTATAAATCCTTTTCAAAAGAAACGTATTGCAGGCCAGCAAAAGAACTGGCAAACATTATGCACAAGTATTTGTCATTCGACCTGGTTAAGTGTAAAATAGAGTCATTTGATCAATGAGCTTCACTGAAATAAAGTTCAAGTCATCCAAAGAAGCGTCCATCTAGCAGAGCCCGAACAAAAAGAAATATTTGCAAGCTGAATAACGATGAAGATGGGAAACATATCAAAAGGAATATTAGCCCCAGTTTTAATTCTATTTATATTTTCTGAAGCTAAAGATGGCAACCTGCCCAGCTCTCTAGGCATCATCTGTCTTATTCTCACAAATCACTTCATTACCGTCA